AATGTATAAAAAATTGTAAAATGAAACTTGAAAATTGAAAAACACACTGATAAAGAATTGTAATAAAGCAGAGTAATAGATATTCTTTTTGGAATTGCAACTTTTCAGACGTATATATTTGTGTATCGGCAAAACACCTTTGTGTAATATACATGTCTTTTTGTGTAATTTGTATTTATACGTATATATGTAGTTTTTGATAAAATAAAATAAAATTTATAAAGCAAAAGCAGCAAATGATGATGTAAAAGGAGATGATACACTCCACGAGTTCTGATGCTGCTCGCTAAAATAATATTATTTTCTTCACTATCACATCTTTTCTTGTATATCACATTTATGTTGTGTGGAAAGTTGCAATGTTTTTTTTTATCCTTTTCTGTTCTCCTTTCGTATCTTCTCATCACGCGACTCCGATCATTTTAAATTTCAAAAGAAATCAAATCCACGCTCGCGAATATACACGCCTGAAGAAGATGACCATGTGAACGCGTGCACATAGCACGGAATAGAACCGCACGCTGTGGACATAGCGTACCGACATGTCGCTCGTGGACTGGCTGCGTAGTTCCAATGTGTACCACCCGTGGTGCATGCGCTAGTTTACGGGGCCGAAAAGTGATTACACATTCTCTTATGGACCTGGCCGCTCTCAGGCTTCTTTCTGATTGTAGACTGGTTCTAATATTTACCTAACCGCTTAGAATGGCGTATGGACTAGCAACAAGGGTCCACTGTGCCATAAGGACACCAGTAACCAGTATTAACTTAACCTAACCTAACCTAATCTTCTGTATACGGTTTCGTTTTGTGCTTCCTTTCGGTGTTTACGTTATTGTGTATGCCTGTAGATGAGAATTGATATAAAAGTTTATTATTCAAGCCTTTCAGAACCAAGAGCGCTCACGATTTATACAAAATATTATAGAAAAGAAAAAGAAAAAGCGCAACACGATAGATCTTTTGTCAAATATATATATAAATATATTGAACTTCAGTGACTAATTTCGAAGTGACAATCCGTGGAGTCCTCTGATATCTAGCAAAATGAGTAATATATCTTATGTTGTATATTTGATTTTGTAGAGAGTAGTTTTAAAGAGAAACAACAAAATCACTATTTTAGAGTTTGTTTTTCTTACTTAAAATCTCGTGTATAGATAAAACAAAAAGAAAATTTACAAGAAGCCAAACTTTTTGCTTTGTCCTATTGTAATGAGCAGAAATTGACGTGTTCACAGACAAAAAGAGAAGATACAGAGAAACTCAGGATGATCCTGAAAGTCTTGAGGATATGTTTTCTGTAGATTCTTATTCTGTTGCAAGCTCTCAACCTAGTGTATCTCATCGAAGTACCAGATGCTCGCAATCACAGTCTCAATCACTGAACAGAACACTGTACAACATGAGCATGGAAGATGAAGAAGAAATACACCTAAGCGGCAACATAATAAGATATCTACTTGTGGCAGATCGTAGCAAACAGCCTATACAGAAAAATCATATTATTAAACATGTATTAAATGGAAATGTGAAACAATTTCGTTCAGTTATAGATAGAGTTAAAAGGCACTTGTCTGGGGTATATTATCTTTGTCATTTTATATTATAAAATTGCTCTCAATTTATTAATTTTTCTATGAAGTATTCTTGAATGTAGAATTAAATTAGAGAATATAAAGTTACAAGTTTTGAAGAAATTTTGTTAATATTTGAAAAGGTATTTGGATACAAACTGATAGAAGTTGAAGGCAATAAATACATCTTGGTAAACGAATTAGAAAACTCTATTCCACATCTTAAGTTCAAAGATAAAAATAAACAAGTGTTGTTATTTCTTGTGCTGTTACATATTTTTATGCATGGTGAATCATGCAAAGAAGGTAACTTTATTTTTTATTTATATTTGATATTATAAATACAACATTAATAATACAACATTAATGATGAAACATTTGTGCAGAATTATTGTGGAGTTTTCTTTGCACTTTGGATATTATTACGCTTGACAATTTTCATCATGATTATTTTGGTGATGTTAAACAGTTGGTGACAGTTGTAAGAATCAAATTATATTTAATAATGCATTATAATCTAATGCAATGCAATGTAAAGGATATGTATTTGTTTATAGGAGTTTGTAAACGAGAAATATCTTACGCGGATAAGTACAGAGAAAAATAACACAACGCAAGTCGAGTATAAATGGGGGTCTCGTGCAGAAAATGAGATTTCTTACAAGTCTGTTTTGGAATTTGTGGCACGCGTAAGTCTAAAATTGTATTCAATGATGTATTTACTATAGTTATTGATACATTAGTACATGTATGTATATATATATATATATATATATATATATATATATATATATGTGTGTGTATGTATTTGTTTGAATTACAGCTATATGGTAGTAATGTGAAACAATGGGAATTTCAATATAAACTTGCAGTAGAACAAGAACAATTAAACAAATTGTAAACTTACTGAAACAACATTACAAATATTTTATTATACACACGTTATTTTGTATCTCCATTCTTAAAAATAAAATAATTGTAAAAAACTTATCAATATGATATCTCTCACACTGATCTCTAAATCTCTATTTAGAGTTATATATAATAAATGTTGCATAAACGACTAACTTTTTTATCAAAAGATTAACAAAATATGTATTATATAATTTATTTTTATTTAGTTTTTTTTTTTTTTTAATATAAATATGATTATTATTATATAATTATTATATAATTATTATATTTACATGTAAATTTTTTTTGTAAGTAAACATCGAGAAAAATATCTGAAATTGTTTCCTTTTTGCAGAAGTTCGTTATTTCGCTACATGCAATTAAGACTATAGTATTGTGTTATATTTTAATTGCTCCAAGCTCGTGTATATAATTATGAAAAAAAAAGAACGAAGAACGCGTTGAAGTTCTGTCATAAATCTCTCTCACATGTGGACAAGAAATTCACGAATTGTCAGAGTTTCCTTGTTACATACAAAATTCGGCCATCGGTGCGTTTACCTTACATATCGGGTAGGATGAGAAGCACGGCAGGGTGGTTGCGCGGAACGGAATCTGTGTCGCGCCGGGTCGGTCGCGGCCAACCACCGCCGGGATCGCGCGTTCCTCATCAGTGTCCACCCAGCCTCGCTGCTCGGTGGCCGCCGAGTGTCATTCGCCTGCGCGTCCTATCTCAAGTCGCGTGATTTTGCCGCGGCGCGGAACGGACACGCGTGCCCCCGTATAATAGACAAATACGCGCCTAATATATTCACTGCCTCACGGTCTCTCGATAGCAATTTCGGAAACTTCATCTCTGAACATATATTTCACCGCTCCCGAAAGAAAAAATGACTGCATCGTTGCGCTTTCCATTTCTACAATAGGAGAAGAGACCTGGATTCACCATCTTACTTAATCGAAAAAAATCTGAAAAATTTCTACGCGTGGACGCGAAAACATGAAAAGCGCGCGTAGCAAAACCAACATATAACCGAGACAGTTTCTGATTCAATTGATTCAAGTATTTAATGTTACTTTAGACATTGCAGTTTTGCTGCATTTTATTTTTGCACACGTTTGTACTACTTTGTTTAAAATATTCATATTAAATGTTCTCTCAAAAAATTTACAGAATGTACATGACTATCGATCGCGCAATATATCGCGTATTTCGTTGCCAAGCAACACGCACGGATTCTCTTACAATATTTTGTTACTGCAAAAATACAGTTTATTTTCGTGTGTGAAAAAATTGTTACATAAGATATATGTATATACAGGGTGCGGCAGAGGTGGTGATCGAGAAAACGGATAAGAAAAAAATAAATGAAAAATAATGTAGAAAAATATTTTTTTTCTGTAAAACGTTTTGTTTTCGAAGAAATTGAGTTTGAAGATTAAAAAATAAATAACAATTTACATTTTAGTTACGCTTAGAAAAAACGTCGCTAATAACCTTGCGTTATACACATAATCAAATAAATATCTTGCGATAGCGCAGTTATTAATTTTAAAAAGTACTCTCTTTTTTATTTAATATAAAGCAGTTAAACTCATGAGATTATTATTAGTAAAATTATTTATACTTTATTTGTGTAAAATTCAAATGTTCTAAAACTTTATTGAACAGTGTATTCTGCTTTTTGAAGGATGAACGTAATGATAATTGTTATTGTGAAACACGTATATATGTATGATAGCAGGTTATTAAACAAAGAGTTAATGTAATATTAATTTTTCACGGTTTTAAATCGTTATTAACGAATATTAAGTCTCGCGCGCAAAAATTTTATTCTACATTATTCTTTCATCAAGAATTATTCCTTTTCCGATTCTCACCTCTGTTCTGCCGCGTTCGCATATATTTATGTATATATATATATTATATATATACATATGTGTGTGTATTGTGTATATATACATATATATATAAATATCAAAATACATAAAAAGATATTTTGATAACTTTATTGTCATTATATATTGGAAAAAAAATATCTGTAAATTGAACTGGAATTTATTTGAAGCTACACAAAATAACTTGAACACAAAAAAATCTTTTTCGTAAACTTGCGAACACGTTCTCGATAACATATTTATATGTCTATATTATTTATAGACATTTCGACGACCAACGATTTTTGTGGACCAACTTATTTGTGATATTTTATGAGAAAATTTTAATATCAAAGAGGCGTTTTGCAATTTAATTGGCGGTAAGTTGCATATTATAATTTACTACGTCCATTGCAAGGGATTATTACACTCGTTGATCAATACGCTTTAATGTCAGCGAAGAACGGAGAATGATATAAAGCTACATATACATGTATATATACATGTTCTTATTGATTTATTACACATTTAATTAAAAAATTAATTAAATTTGGATTCGGCGGTAAAAGAAAGTGTAATAGTTATTCTAACAACGTAAAACTTTAATAGTTTGTACTAGTTTACCTAGGAATCCCGAGCGATCGATATATACTCTGCGCCAAAAGCTACTTAAGCTTAATAGCTCAATACTAATTTAATAGAAAATAATCCTTGACAATACTGTTACATTAATTGTATTAAATAATCCAATTGTATTACGGCACATTTTTAAAAAAAATCCGTATGAAGAAAAATTTTAATTCCATCGCGTAATATTTTTTACAAAACACAAAATAACTTTCTCTGTACTTATATTTCTCTCTCTTTTTCTCTCTCTCTCTTTCTGGTCGAGTAAATTTTAATGGTAACGCGATTCTTCGTCCCGAGAGATTTGAGAGATGGAACATCCTGTTTCTTACGCAGGCAAACGAATAAATTTCCAACGAATAAATTTTATTCGCTTTATCGATCTGAAATCTCATCGAAAGAAGTATTAATAGCGAGACGAATTCCGTCGTTTAATAATGCATCCGCGTGTATATCTCGCGGCGTTTGATTTGCGATAATTCACTTGAGCGAAATCAAAAAGGTCAGAGGAAAAATCCGACAAGAAATGCTAAAAAAAGAGTGCTTTATCGATAAGAGTTAAATATCGCGCACAAAGAGCTTAATTAAAAAAGCTTTTTCTCTTGTTTGTTCTTTTACAATCAAAATAAAAATCTACAAACAAACAAATTAGTATTAAAAAAAGTCAAGAAGATATGTAAAATTCTAATTTGACATTTAAAAACAATTAATCTACATAAGAACAATTTTTAATTTTGTCCTTTGTATAATTTTCTATTCGAACAGGAACAATGTACAGATTGTTCGATAATAAACCGTACAATTGTTCGTGGGTAGATAGAGAAGGTTACGCTAAGTCGAAAAGTTCTTTACTACTTTACGAGATTCCCAACAATTACCGAGATTTTAATTAAAAAAGATCCGTGAATATATGTATATATATACATACATACAGAGTGTCCGACAATTAATGTAAAATCTCTCGTAGGTAGGTAAAAGGAGTAAAACTGAGTCGAAATTAGTTTCTCTCATTCCGTTGCTACGGCGTACTTACGAGCGCGCGAAAAAATGACAGCTGTCATTTTGCACGTGGCTGCACGCTCATTCGCGGATCTTTATTTATTAAGAACTCGTTAATTATTGCGAATTTCGCAAAATGGTAAAGAACTTTTCGACTCAGTATAATCCCTTCTATCTGCCTACCAGCGGTGATACGGTCTTTATCAGACACTCTGTATACATATATACATGCTTATTCACGGATCTTTGTTAATTTAAGTAATTATTGCGGTAATTATTGCGAACAAAGTGATAAAGAACTTTTTGACTTACAATCAGTGCAATCCTCTGCCCAACGATTATTACATCGAACATCCTATGTATAAAAATTTCCATTATTTTTAATAGAAAACAATTATACTTCAGATATGTTTGTCCATTGAACATTTCACGTAGGTACTACGCGCGTATTTTAAAATGACAGTCTGAGAAAAAAATTCGTTACGATAAATCAGTTAAATTGCTTGGGGGGGTTGAAGAAATTTCAGACACGCCGAGGACCAAGTAACATTCTACTAGTCGAGAGTAGACGAGAGAGACTTGTGACGCGCAAGAATGTTCAATCTCTATCAGAGTTTAAACAAGAAGGATGAGGGCGACGGAGGACAACGGAGCCGTGAATCCGAGGTGACCGGTCACGATCGGTTCTGTCAGCATCGCAGCACCGGTCATTCGAGCACCCGACGTCGCCGTCGCGCCGTCAATCGGAGAACGCAGAGCGCAACCGAGCTGAACACTCGAGCGATAAGCTCGGCACGGGGATCGTTGCGACGCGGTTGCAGCGTCAGCACCGAAGACGAGAACGAGAGCGAAGACGACAAGGGTCATCAGCTGGCGAACAAGCTGGACAGTCTGGCGCGGCTGCTCTTCAGCCGCGTGTCGGTTGCACGAGGATACAAGGATCAGGGTGACGTCAAGTGGGTATAAGACACAGATCGAACGTGATAGATCGTCAGAGCTTTAATATCGCGTCTGATTTTCGAATCAGCTGAACTCAGCTAACGCCGAGATTCAGGTGCCATTTGTTAGAGCGCACATACACGAAGTTGATATAGTTACAGAAAAAAAAAGCGATAAAATTTTTTTTCATAGAATTGTCTTTGAAAATTTCCAAGAAAAAAATAAGTACGAAGTTTATTATGTAAAGACACACATTTTTATGGAGTTTGTTATGAAATTGATGGAATCATATAAACCTACGGAATTAATGAGTCGCAGGATCTCTTTTTAATGTGCTGTTTTAAAATTATAAGATCTTAAAAACGCGTTTCACTCGGCGCGTGAAAAAGCAATATTGAATACACACACATTTAGATATATGTCTCTTGTATTGATATAGAATTTTTACATAAAACATATATATATAAACAAAATAAGTAACATCTCATAATTATTAAAACTTTTGGTCTATATTATAAACATTATATCATTATCATTTTATCTACGAAGCAATGGTAATTATATACAGGTGTCCGACAATTGAATCTGTCGTAAACAGGTAAAAGGAGTAAAACTGAATCGAAAAGTCTTATAACAGTTTGCGAGAGATTTGCACAATAGTTACTGACTATCTTAATTAACAAAGATCCGCGAATAAGGCGGATTGCATTGGGCTGTCTTTACGCTTCGCGCGGTTATTTTTTATTACGTATATGTTATAGGGTAAAAGACCCAATTACTGTCACCTGAATAATAAACTCATATACTAATATAAACTCATATACTAATAAATAAGTAGTAAAATTGTTTTTACTACTTATTTGTCAAAAACATGTGTTTTTCTTCTTATCTGATATTATCCGATGTCTCTGATATAAGGAACAAAATAATACCGTCTCTCAAAATCTCTATTTTTTTTTTTTTTATTTATAAATGTAATAATTAAAAAAGAACGAGATGCGAGAGCTATTACTGTCACCCCTAAAATGAAAGAAATGAGACACGAATGTTGAGTGCTGGATTTTTTTTGTGTTATATTAATTGCACTTAAAATTCTATGTTAGATTGTTTTCATGCATAACTTTTTAGGATTTATTTAATATTTTAAATAAAATAGCTTAGGGTGACAGTAATTGGACAGGTGACAGTAATTGGGTCTTTTACCCTATACCGTTATATTAGCTCCTATGAGATACATTGCGGGTAACAACGTGAGCGCGTGTCGTCTTACGCGCGTAAGACAGCCCGATGCGTGCTTATTCGCGCGGATCTTTGTTAATTAAGATCTCGGTAACTATCGCGAATCTCGCAAAATAATACAGGACTTTTCGCGACTCGGTATAACTCTCTCCATCTGCTCACGAAGGATTGTACGTCTATTACCGCGCGGAAACATTGTATACATATATATATATATATATATATATATATATAAAATAATAATAATAATAATAATATATTAGAAACAATTATTACTTGTTGCTTCCACGAGAAATCAATTACCAGGCATTGTGTGTAATCGCAAATATTGCAGTTGGATATTGCTCGCATGACATCATTGTATTCTGCAAATCATCCATCACAATTGTACACATCTTTCCATCGTGTATCTCCGGGCATTACGTCTGTTCTGTTTATAAACCTTGTGTGTTAATTCACCTTCCGTGACGACACACACAGATCTATCTTCGAGACGCTTGAAGCAAGCTAGAACACTCTCGCGTTCAAATCAAGTCAATTTTTCATTATCGCGAATTTCAACACGATCGTCGCACGCATTTAAAAACAAATAATATTTATTTCGCGAAAAAAATATCTGATTAATAATGGCTGTGTGCGCACGTCATCAGGATGTTCACCGAAGTTTTCCAGCGGGCGATTACGAGCGGATAGACGGAAATTTTCGAGTCGCTGTGCGCAGGTAATCGAACAATAAGGAAAACAACAGAACATCTAAAAAAAAAAAAAAAAATATTGCCAAAATTTATTTAATTACTTACATAATTTCTAGATTATTGACAGATTGATCTTTCTGAATAATTTAATATGTTCCGATAATAATTCAATTACCGCGTCTCTTGCGCGCGGGAGTCTTCCGTATACACAAATGACTGCGAGACTGTACACGATCTGTAAAATCGGTTATTGTGATTTTCTTATTGGATGTGAAACCTCTTACAGTCGTAGAGCGGCGTGGCGCGTTAGTGGTACACATCGTGATAATCCGTGGTTCGCGAATCTAAGCCGCTTTTGTTGGTGCCGGAGGCGCGATAATACACAGGAACTGTATAGTCAAACTACGCGAAACTACGCGTCAACGTCGGATCACAGGTAGAAAACGCTTTTAACTCTCTGTACATGATATTTGTATAACACACATAATATGGTTTTTGCAACATCTCACGCAACATTTAACAACTGGCGCATACAATGTCAGTACGAATATTTGCAAAGGAGTAGTAAATTTAAATAGTCCGGAGAGTTTATTTAAACTACTGCCGCGTATTTATATACACACATATATATGTATAATTATTATTATTTTAATAACTAGAAAACCTTTCGACATCGATCAACTACTAAGAATGCATAGATTATTGCGGCTTTAACGGTCAGATATACAGGATGTAATATATCGATCTGTATTTGAAATAATGCTACGAGTTCCATTCTTTCAGCGAACAGGTCGGAAAGAAAAATAAGAGGAGGAAAAAGCGGAACACGAGATATAGTTAAATAGTTTTATGTGTAATTGATAGGAACGGGCGTTACACGGCGCTGAATCATGGATCAAAATCTGTCAGCGAAGACGGAGTCGAGTACATGGAAATGGAAAAGAGATCCCGTGATCGTGCTTTGTCGATCTGTCGAGACTATATCGAAAAAACGCCGCGGTTCGCTCTCATCAAACAGCTTAATAATATTGGTGAGCCTTTTTTTTTTCTTTTTGATCCTATCGAAATGTCAATTTACAAACGAAAGCGTATGCACCAGTTCGGGAATCGTACATTTTTTGATAGACTTTTGATATAAGTGTAAAAACAAAAGAAAATTTTGTTCATTATGTATAATAGCAATTATAAAATAGTAATAAATTAAAAAAAGGTTTAGGAAAGATTAAAAGATATTAATGGTAAAATATTAGAGATATATTTAAAAAATATATATTTTATATCTAAATCAATCATCTATAAAATTTTTTATTCGTACAATATTGTGTAATCAGGTCTTTTTTTAATTAAGAAATACTTTTAGAAAGTAGAAAATTATAAATAAATAAATAAATACATATATATAAATACTTTACATATTTATAGGATCAAGGGTAGATAAATATTGGTTTATGGTAAGAGATACATCATTGAAGACAGATAGACTGTTGACCCTAGTGCCGCTAAGTCGGAATTGTCCGCTGACCACTTGTCCCTCCACCAAAGACATTTTGAATAATCTGTTCCTGGCTTTACAACATCCGTATGTTTGTCCTGTTTTTCACGTTGATTTTCTCGAGTACGAAGATCAAATTTATATCGTGCTGATGCAACCTATTAATCAGGGAAGCCTCAAGGACTTGATATACGGCGTGAGTACAGATTTAATTTGCAGAAATATTTATTGTATGTTTGTTTTTTTTTGCAGAATAACAAAAAAACAAATAATATCATTCTTTTTATCTTTAAATTTTTTAATTATTTAAAAGATATTTTTGCTTGTGTCTTTAAAGTTGAATTTAAGATATGGGATATTTTTGACTTAAACATCAAAGATATCTTTAATGTAAAGAAAATATCAAAACTGGCAAAAAAAACGATATATTTTCAGTCGTTAAATAAGAAAGTTTTTTGATCGTATCTATTGATTCTTGTATACGTATATACATATACACATTGATATCTATATCGTACTCTATTAGTACTCGAATTTTGCAACTGCTGAAGGACAATCAACGCTTCGCTGATGGGACGCGCGTCTCAGTATCGATGACGAAGGTAAATGTGGTAAAGGAGAAAGCGAGACGGCGTAGCACTCAGAAAACATCTTCGGCAGTTGCAAAAAAAAATTCGAGCATTGCTGCGCATTGATAAAATAGCAGCAAAAATATATCACATAAAACAGATCGAACGGAACTGCTGGAACGAGGATTGGTCTCACAAATATGCCGCGCGAGGTAAAGGGCTCACGTTGCCGCAAGTGCAACGTATGGGGCGACAAATATTGGAAGCGCTAATGTTCCTGAAGGAACGAGGATTTCCTATTGTGACACATCTCCATTCGGGTAACGTTGTGATCCAAAATGGCGTTGCCAGATTGGCTGGTTTGGAGAACACCCTTCTGGGTTTTACAAGTCGCATACATCCTGTCGTAACGTCTCGATTAACGCACACTACTTCTATCGATATTATATGTTTCGGTAGGTGTAATATCAGAAATTTAAATAGACTATTTTATTTTTGTAGATTTTCTATATGTATGTACGTTAATAATTTTAATTTTATAATAATTTTCTATATACGTATGTATATTAATAAGTAGATATTTTAACAAGACGAATTGTTATCTCAGGACATATGCTGTTTGAAATGTGTGCTGGTTACGAATTGTTGACCTTCAGACCGTCCACCGTCCAACTATCAGACATCGAAATGTATCCTCAGGTAATAAATCGATCGATTAAGAAACAATCGGCATTGCTTATTTAAACGAAGAACGTGTAAAAGTCGGACGTTCAATTTTAGGTCGTGAGATTTCTCGAATTGATATTCACAGAGGTAGAAAATCACTTCGTTAGCATAGAAGAGTTGCTGATTCACGATCTCTTTAGAAATATTGATCTCCGCGAAATACGATGTGCGGCCGTAACTGTAAGTAATTTGTGTGCGACATCAGTCATCATTTTTAGAGAAAGTACAAACACGCGCAATTATTTTTTTTTTTTCAGGTATTTCGTCCGACCCTAACGCCCTCCATAATGAATCTGCTGGATAGTATTAAACGACAAGATACCGCAAAAGGGTGAGTTTAGTTTTAATAAAATTCACGCCGATTTACATACAATTTATACCAAAACTTGGCTCATAAATAATTACTGGTTTTGCAAATAATTTTGCACAGCTGGCATAAGACACGCTCTATAAGCGATGTTCACTTAACGCGCAGATTTTGGTAACGATATAAATCAATTATTTTCGTTCTAAGATATAGATAGATATAAAGTTCGAATATAAAGTAAAAACGATACATATGTGAATGGCGAATTGTGTTTTTTTCAGAATTACTAATATCGACAGCGCGGATGCTACGTCGTTGAACAGCTTTGAATATGAAGATTCTTTACTTACACAGATACGCAACGAGCTTTCACAAATAGCTTTATAATGTGGGAACAAGATATACGTATATTTTATCTCGAATATGTGTGAACACACATTCCTATATATGTATTTGCAAAGTGCCAAGAAAATGATTTTTGTGCTAATTTCAATATGTATGTGCGAAAAAAGTACATGTTGAAAAATTTATACATCGAAGATACAGTATCGATCTGGTTTTGTCGCGTTTGACGTATTTGTGTTCAAATCAAATGATAAAAAGAAAAAATTTATTAATAATTCTTTTTTATCTCACTCACACACGTACACACACACACACACACACAAGTAATAATCTTATAGAAACAGAACATTTTTCAAACTCGTATATTGTACGCCTGAAAAAATTCGTCTCTTGAACTTATTATTTTAAATTATATTAAGAACTATACACATATGTGAGTTACAAATATATTGCAATAAAGGAAAGTGGAAAAAGCGCAAAAAAAAAAAAAACTAACATCATTTGTTTACATCAATTTTTTTTATTACTCATGCTTAAAACGAGAAGTAGAAAAAGTACTTGACAATCCCATCCTAGATTTACTTGAGCTTCCGCTGTGACAGAGAAATAGTACCTTCATATGTGAAAAGACTGTAATTTCGTATAAACTAATAGTTTATTTTGGTCTAGCTAGTCAATTAGCTTAAGATATCTTTATCGATTTTTGTTATAATAGTTTTATCTCGCTTTTCTTTTGCAAGTGTCTTTTAGAATTATCTGCTGAACAAATATGAAGTATCCGTTTAGTCAGAACCATATAAAATGTACGAATCTTAACAATTATGCACATTTTGTTTTTCAAGATTGACTTGCGAAGAGTCCAAAAACAAAAAGGAACAATAAAAATGTTTTTAGCACACAAATATTTGTTGGAAAATTCATGTATAAACTTAATGCTTAAAGACAAGGAATAGTGTTCCTCGAATTGAAAAGAGTTCGTTTTTTTTCTGCCACACAAGTGGTTTCATGTGTGATCACATTGAGTTGTATTTTAACATGACATAGCACAGTAATGTTCAGTTCTCGATGATCGGTGGACGACTCGGAATAATTTAATAAATTACGTCCCACGTTATGAGCCGCCAGTCTCGATTTCGCTTCCTGGTGTTTCGGGTTCCTCATCATTGTAGATATTCTCCGCCATCTGCCATACTTGCATTATGTTGTCTTCGGAAACCGAACATATAACCCATGGCTCGTTTGGATTCCACGAAAAATCACTGATCTTTGCAGTGTGTCCTCCGTGAATAAACTGTAGACATATTTAACAAATTTTTTATTTAGAAACACACATAACATGTTTTAAAATCTGTTTTAAATTAATTGTATCAAAACAGCCTATTAATTATTTTCTGTGTGTACGTGATTGAGAATATTTATAAAATTATAATAATTTATGAAATTTATCAAAATTATACCAAAAGCTCAGGCGGGCCATCCTCAGCATCTTCGGAAGACTGTTCTTCACCGATCTTGCTAAGGTCCCAAACGTGTAATCGTCTGTCTGTACCACTGCTCGCCAATATCGTCTCATTGTGAGGAGACCATTGAACTTGGAAGATCTCATCTTTGTGTGATTCGAACGAATGTAATTTCAACTTGAGATTTCGTAAGTCCCAAAGAGCCACTGTTTTGTCTGCGCTACCGGTTGCCAGGATGAATTCGGAGTACGGGTTGAAACTCAAGCAATTCACCTCGGCAGTGTGGGCGTCGACAGTGTGACTTGGCTTGCTGGTATTGTTGCATCTGCGCAAGTCAAAATTTAAATCATACTACAACAAACATATAAACATATAAGACACTTTTGTTCTAAACAGAAATTTGTTTTAACTACTTGTACAAATAAGACTGTGTTCGGAAACATCAATTATGTGCACATGAGCGTTATTCTATCTTTGTTTTATATCTAATGAGCGATAAAAGTGCACACGAGCGGTGTTTCTTAACGCAGCCTAAAAAGATGTTTGTCACACTAAAATATATATTATTAATCTGAAATATATAGAAACAAGATATAGCTAAGTGATGCTAATCTGCAGAATCTTGTTTCGCTTTTCGATAATTCAGAGTTCATCTCATCAAAAATTGTAGGTCTCAAAAAGCACAACTCGAAGCTAAGTGGCACATTAAACATACTCTCAAAAAAGTAAAATGTATATAAAGATAAATTACCTAGTATCCCAAATCATGAGCTTTTGATCGTCAGCAACCGAACCAAACAATGATTCGTGCAACAAATGCCAAGCAACATCCTCAACTACAGCTGTGTGTCCTGTGAATATAGTTTTTGCATCGATAACACGATTCTCTTTTGGTGTGGCATTAATATCCCACAAGCAAATAGTGTGATCATCAGATGCGCTAAGTAAATATCCATTAAGATTTGGATTCCATGAGAGGCCGTAACCTTCTTTCTGATGTCCGCGCAATCTGCCATTAAAATTATAATAACATATGCAAATAATAATATAAAAGTAACAGTGTATATAATTGTACTTCATGCGCTATGTTTGTATTCTTAACACACACACAAATACCTTAAATCTGGATGACATTCTCCATTAGGATCGGGCTTACTGGGATGTTTGGTGTAATCAAAAACGAGTACATCGCTCGAGGGAGTTTTTGTTGCAATCACGCACGGATTCTGCGGCATATATCGTGCTCTGTTGACTTCTCCTTCATGGTTGATCTTAATTTCAATCTCAATCTTGCCGCTAACAGAACCAAATCCACCAAATTCGCCTTTCTCATTGTCGTAATGAGAAGCGTCAAATTGCGCATCCTCGTTAGGCAATTGGACGCTTGCAATCAGTAGATGATTTTGTTCATCGGAAGTGTGAGTACCTAAAATCAACCTATGAACTGAATAATCTTTGCCTTCTGGCCTGGTGACATCAGGCAGCCATTGGGCTGTCAGAGAAGGCCATTCCAGAGCATGTGTCATCACAAGGTCGTAAAGAAATGGTGTATTTTTCTTCCATATTTTGTATTCCTCATTGATGATACGCTCTTCCACCGCATCGTCGAAACCCTCTGCACAAAGATAGAACAGTAGTACTTGTAAATTTCACATTATGTATGAATTCATTGCAGGAGAAAATTTATAAATTGTAATATAAGAAATATATATATATATGTAATAAATTTAGTAAATTGCCTAGTACCATAGAGGGAAGGATCTAAGTCACATGATTGTTTATTGTGAGAAGATGGAGAAGAGTGTTGTTTGGTACGATGTCGAAGATTTTTATCATGAAAAGATGATTGTTGATTGCCAGGACGTTGATGTGATTGTTGATCATGAGAAGATTGAGATACATTAGAACTGATGTTTTCTGAAAAAGTAAAAGAATAGAACAAATATTTTCAGATTGGTTGCATAGTTTTGGAAGTACATGATTTTCAATGTACAATCAACATATGTATATCAATTGATGCATATATATATAGTTTTTTCCCAATATTATATTGTTACTATTATGTTTCTGTACCAAAACTAATGTTTCTGTGTAATACTGACTTATATCAACAATCTAATTATTTTCTTACCTTTATTTTCAATTAATTAATTTTTATGGGTTTTTATTCTTGCGGGATCAGTGAAAAGTAATCAGCAAACAATATTTTTGTGTGATATACAATAAGAAATATATATGTTGCTATGTAAATGTAACTCAAAATTCCAAGATTTATAGATTATGTACAACAACAATAATCTTTCTCACACATAAATGTTAACAAAAACAATGTATTTGTAAGTACAGACAATCTCAAAATGTTGAAGAGCTATAAGTAAACGTGTTTTCTTATAACTGTGCAACCAATCAAAAACAAATTATTCTATATCTTTTACTTTCAAATATCACTTTTTATATATTTGTGTGTGTGTGTGTATGTGTGTGTATATATATATATTTATGATGTATATATATTCATATATGTATATACAAAATAATATATAATTAATTTATGTACATTTTTAGTTACTGTATATATATCAACACACTCCGCAATAAAGTTGAAAATAATAAATTAACATTATTGTCAAAATATCTATAAACTTTCTTATTTTTGAGACTGAGTGTAACAATTTACTGCACATTATTGTTTTTGGAAATGCTGATGATATATTCCATTGTGGTAATCGTAATCACAAACGCCGAAACATGCGTTTTGTGCGGAAATACCGGTTGCGGAAGAAACCGAGAACTTTTTGAGAATTTATTTTTTTGGTTGTTTCGTAAGAAAAATAATACAAGTCGTTCGAATTTTTTTGCTCACATCGAACATGTGACGCAAAAAGAAGAGCTTTGCTTTCCAAACGATTAAAGGTTTTGTTTATCGGACCATGTTCTTCCAGATTTATTCACCGGACTAACCGTAATTTATTTTCACGAGAAAAGACAAAAGTTTAAATCAAGTATTGAAAAAATTATGCAGAATCTTACCGTTATCTTTGTCCCCCATCATTTATCCTTCGTAAATTGACTCAAAAGATAAATTACGATGCAAATTATCGAAACGCCGAACTGAAATTCAGCCCGCCAAAATCGACAACCGTAGACCGTACCGGATCGGTATCAATAGCACACAGTATGGTTGCTTTCCAGCAAGAAGACACAAACAGACACAGTAGCTAGTCGTTTTTTACTGGCAGTACTGAAAATCTATAGATTCACGTCACGTGTACTATAGATTTTTCAGTACTGCCAGTAATAACCGAACAGGGGGCCAATGTCAGGCACAGAAGAGCTGTATGCGAAGCTGCTTATTGGAACATCATTTAATTCTTAGTAAAGTCGATAGATCGCGCTTTATATACATAAATTTACCAAATTGTATTTCTAGTCAGCTTTAGTTTCTGTTTAACACACGACGTATGTATCAGCCCAGTGGTCTCGCGGCCTGAAGGCGACGTCCCATTGAGCGGAAATCTATAGCGGAACGGAATGTGCGGAACCAGCTCGACCAATCATAGCTATTCCGTTTTCTTTCCTTCGCTTTTTCTTTGATTACGATTGGTCGAGCTGGTTCCGCACATTCCGTTCCGCTATAGATTTCCGCTCAATGGGACATCGCCCTGAGTGCAGGGGCTGCGAACCTGGAGGTCCCGAGTTCGAATCCGCTCACCACCTAAGGATTTTTTCCGGGCCGGTCCCTTTCAACCGAGTTTATCGGTTGATTGGCGAACTGAATCGGGCTTCCAAAAATTAATTCGGGTGTAATCCCGAATTATAATTTCCCTCCCACAAGGCGAATCGTAGTCAATACCATATCGATAGACTGGCGTTTGCTCCTCTCTCGCAGGGGCGTGAGCCATATAAGCAAAGAAGAAGAAGAAGAACGAATCAAATTATGATCAAATTATCCGACATTATAGAAAGTAAAAATCGAATTAAATCGAATCAATTAGTAGCAGAGAGAAGACTGAGAGCGACCATCCTATTCTAGTTTCTTAAGACGGTTTCAGTCGCTAATTTTAGCGCTATATCCACAAAAGTGGATCTTAAGGCTCGTTCCACATTAAACGCAAGTGGCAAAGTGAACTGATCAAATCACGTTGGTCGATTGGCTGATCTGACTCTGCGATTGGTCAATTCCACGAGATCTGCCAGTTGCGTTTAATGTGAAACGGCCTTTGAGATCCACTTTTGTGGATATGGCGCCAAAACCAGCGGCTGAAACCGTCGTAAGAAACTAACAACAGGATCAGTGATGGGAATTCGAGTCCGCACACGCTGTCGTTTTTTTTCCCTCTACTTACGTACACATAGACACTTGGTTCATCCGTAACTCGGCAGCGCCGACGGATGGACCGAGTAATATATAGAATATTTTATTAATTTTTATTTATTTCTTGCTTTTTCAGAAATGTAACAACATGCTCCGCCAATTCTCTATACACTTCTGCTTGTCTGCTTTCTGGCGCGGCCAAAACAACTGGTTTGCCATTATCCGAACTTTCAGCAATGCTCTCGTGCATTGGTATTTTTTGTATAATATTTATATCTGAAATAAATGACAAAAAGAGAGATAGTAACATGTTTTTACAAATAATGGTACTGTGATTACAAAATATATTGCAATATATTATTGAGCAAAGTAAAAGATGTTAATATGAATTTATTACCAAGTTCTTTGGTCACTGAAGACATAGCGTTATCAAAAAGGGACACCTCCGACATGCAGTTTGGGCATATAATAGTGCTCATATTTTCCACAATGCCAGCAACAGGTATGTTCAACTTCTTGAACATGTTTGCACCTCTTCTGGCTACTTCTAACGCAACTTTCTGCGGTGTGGTCACTATTAGCACACCAGCGATGAAAAGATTTTGAATCAGAGTAAGATGTGTGTCCCCTGTTCCAGGAGGAGTGTCGATTACAAGATAATCAAGTGATCCCCATGCTACTTGATTTAACAGTTTGTCCAGTGCACTCATTACCATTAATCCTCTCCAAACTACTGGCGATTTCTCATCAATTAAAAATCCCATAGACATACTGCATGTGTAAAACATGAAATTATAACAAACATCTGTTTATCTGATCATTCAATGCATCTGACCAATTAGTCACCATTTCACACCATAATTTACAAGAGGTTCCATGAAATTCTCTGCATTAACTACAGGTGATTCGTGTATGTTCATCATCAAAGGTATAGAAGGCCCAAAAACATCAGCATCTAATAATCCAATAGACTTTTTTGGTTCTATAAGTTTTAGCGCAGTTGTCAAATTTACAGCAGTAGTAGACTTTCCAACGCCACCTTTACCAGAAGCCACCAATAAGATCTGTTTAACGCCCTTAATATTTTTTCGCTTTGGGAGGCCACGTGCCATGACTTCCCTTTGCCTAGCTTCTATGATTTCTTGATTGGTTTTGATAGTGCTATACTAGAATAAACAAATTTAAAATCAATGTTTTTCAACAAAATATCTAAGAGAAATTGTGTTTGATCAAAAGAGCACTTTACAGAAAATTAATTAATTTACATGTTCATTGTATTGTTTTACTTTAAATTTTATATATATTATTTCATTTATAAGTACCAATTGTGTATATTTACCTGTCTGTAGTGCCACAGATACCAAAAGTGTTTGGAATATTCGCTTAAATGTAGTTTTGCAAGGTTTAACATTATACGTTATTATACTTAATTCAATCTCGTGCGTAATATATTTAATTAACGAATTCGACTAAATAATAAATATTAAAACAATATCGACACAGGTAGACTAGAGAGCTCTTAGGAAGAGTTGCATACTCGTGACAGCTTTTTCCTCTCTGTCCAATCAGAAGTGACAGTGACGTCACGAGTTTGCTCTCTCTGAGACTGCCTTTACATGCGGCGCGTAACTTGGATTAGCCAATCATATCGTCTCAGTTATCATACGCAAATACGCTGATTATTCACGCGTAACCGAAAGCGCTCATTTGTTAGTTAAAAGTTGCTCTCATTTAAAAAGTAATGCTCAGACGCAATTTTGTCACAGAGAAAAATTGTTTCTTCTGACACATATAATCACGTTATGCATTCCGTATCCGCGAATTCTGGAACACCCTGTATATATATATATGCATACTTGCTTCTATATATACATATACACACGCAGCATATAAGAGTAAACGTTCTAAAAAAACAAATGATGAAAATTATAAACAGAGAAAACCAGGAAATAGGACAAATAAGGCAAATACATTAAAAGACATATGTACAAATGTCAATATTAAGTAAATAAATATATTTATACACATATATGTATATATATAAAATATATAAATACATTTATATATATATACATATTTTTTGTATGTACACTTTCACACTTACAGTACACAACAGTTATTAAGATAAATGTGTAAAACAGTTTTGTTTTTTTTTTTTCATGTGGCTGAAAGTTTGTAAAACTCAGGACAAAAATTTATGTATTTATAAGATAAATAAAAGAAATCTCGTTTCTATAAATTTTTAAAAGAAAGTTTGCGATTCAAATGTGTGAAAAAATTAAGATGTATTAGAACACTTATAAATTTCTGTCGCATAAGTTTTTTTTCTTTCGTTTCCCTGTTACAATGCTAGAATCGAGTTGTCGAGCGTGTACATCATGTGCATATAAGTGTTACTAAATTGTTATAATTTTGTGATACATTATATACGCTTTTACAAATATATAATTATATCATTATATGTATTATATTACAGAGACAGAGAGTATTAACGAAAAAAGGCCAATCGTATTGTAAAAAATTAAGTGTGTGTTGTACTGATAAGTGGCAAGTGTGTCGACTAACTATATATATATATATATCATCATATACCCCGAGATATGTGATATAACTACATCTTTCATATATTGTGTTATTATAATGTTCAAACAAAGAACAAGTTAATATATCAAGTAGAATCGTACTATCATCGACACGTATGTATCTCAACTGTACATACATACACAGTAGTAGCTGGCGACATGTTTAACATGCAATATTATAGTAAATCTGAAGCACATTTTGCACAAACACAGCATCGCGCGTTGCGCTCGTTACTTCTTGGTGTCTTTTTTTTATTTTATTTTTCTTTATTTTTTTTTATTTTTCTTTTTTTTATCGCGCACAAAGTCAGCAATAAAAAAATATATATACATATAAAATCTATATAATAAAATTTGCAATACATTATATTTCCGCGTAATAATTATTGCATATAATAATTAACAAAAAAAACGAATGAAAATTGCACCAAGGTTTTTTCATCTATGTAACTATTGTTTTGATGTAAATATGCTTAATATTCTTATACTCTACTAATAATTGTAACATATAAAACTCATGTTCCAATGATTACAGTTTTGATAAATATAACGATATAAGTAAGTGAAAGTCAAATAATACAAACGTAAATAACAGAGGCATGTGTTCTCCAATTGCAAAATTAATATAATAGCGTTCTTTTCCTTGTTATTTGGTTTTCTATACGAATTTTGTAATAATTGCCACGAAATCACAACTACATGTAAAATTATACATGTACGGATTGAAATTTAAAAAAAAAAACACATATGTATAGAAACAATTCTATATCGGTTCTTTAAGAGAAAGTGATATAGAAATATGAAAGTAGAAAATATAGATAAATATATATAAAAAATATAAAAAAAACACATATGTATATCGATTTTTTTCGATATCGTTCAGCGCGATAAAATTTTTTTAATCTTTGCAAAACACAAAATTGATATATAAAAAAATTAGTATTTACTGCAGCCAATTCGAAAAAGACAATGCATTAACTCTTTCTCTTTCTATGTCTTATAATTTTTATAAAACTGTATAACGTATGTAATAAATATATGTAAAAACATAAACTTGAAAAGCAAATTAGTGCGCTATGTCTTGCTAAGTTTGCTTGTTTTTAACGTTATATCTTCATGAACATTAAAACATATGTTAAAAATAGGTAAGTATTAATTTGACGCGTTACATATCATTGTTAAACAGCAAAAGACTTTTGTTTGAACATGTCCTCTTGAGGATTATAACGAATGGAGTTGATAAAAAAAAACCCCGCATACATATATATATATATATATATGTAATAAAAAAAAAAAACATTGCTTTTCCATTAAAACTGGAACTGGTTTTATCGCTCTTTACTATTCTGTAAAAATAGAAAAAAAGAGTCGATTTAGATTATTATTGCATCAATTTCCTAAAAAAGAACAACTAAATATTCTTCATTCCTAGAAACGGCTTCTTAAAAACAAATTCAGGTTTTTTGTTACATATTTTTGTTCCAAAATAAATCTTAATTATCAGTCAATAATATTTTCATTGATTTAACTAAATTAAACACATTTTTGCATTAATAAAATCAATTACTACGAATAATAAATGTATGTGCAAATCATATCGCACAAAACTTTGGCTCATATAAATAAATTAATTACTTTAATAATCACTCAAATAATAAAATTATATTAACCTATTGCTACATTTAAAACACTGTTTCTTCACATGTGTTGAAAATGTTCTCATTCTCGCATTGATTTAATAACAAAAATGCTAAAATAAAAAAAAAATAATAATACGAAAGAAGCCGTCATCAGGATTGAGATGATAGTTTCGCGATTCTTTTCCGCCTTTGGAATTGAGTGTAAAAAGGTTCCTTCAAAAGAGAGAGGAACACGATTTCCTTATTTTTTTTTTTTTCACATATGTATGTGTGTGTATGCGTGTGTGTAAATATGCATATCTACAATGTTTTGTATATAAGCATGTAATATAATAACGTGTTATCGTGTTATTATATATTATTATTGTTATCATTATTATTATTCTAAGCAGCAAACTTTATAACGCGTACTGGAAAGCTCGCTCCGAATAAAACATTTATTCGGAAAAATAGCCAGATATACAGAAAAATGAGACCGAAAAAGCGTAATTTCTTTCTTCATCTAAGGCATGTTCCGTTATTACTAGCAGTACTAAATATCTATACGTTCAAAAACGTTACATATCCTATAAATGTTTGCGTACTGCTAGTAATTAAATAACGGAAAGAGAGAGAATAGGACTAAGAAGAAAGATGGGCTTTTAAAAAAGACAAGAAATATAAGAGAAACGAATAAAAGCTTTAGGAAGAGAGATAAAGAATTGGTACATATTGGCAACCTATTCTTTTTCTCAATCGCGGCCGTTCTTTGAACATCGGAATGAGCATTCCAGAAATAGAGTTCACTGATTCTAAGAGACAGTGTAACCTTGTCGATCAGGTTAAAGGCGATCAGCATTCTTTCAGAATGTATTATTTAATTAAATCGTATGAATATATATATTTCTCCCATGGATAGGGAGAATATATGATCCGGATATAATTAAATATATTAATATAGTTTTTCTCTCTCTTTCTCTATACGCGTCTATGTTATATCCCGTCACAAATCATCGTTTAAAAAACACTGACCATGTATTATTGTTAAAATTTTTTAACAAATTCCATACATACTATTCCTTCACGAATCTCTTCCTATTTCTGTCTTCTAGAATATCACGAAGAAAAAATAGGCCAATTAACGGATATAAAGATACTTGTTTTCTTAATGAAAAAATGTGTGACTGAAAATTATAGATTTTTTAAACTATAAGTTGATTATAGTATAGAGATTATTCGTGTATCTGATTTACGTGAACAATACGAAATACAAAGTTTATTTTTTAATATCGCTTAACTTTAATAATCGTTTAAAAAAATTATTAAAAATTGTGTACTTTTCATAGTGTTTACTTTAATATGTGTGTCTCTATTTAATTAATTATTGTTAAAAATAGATTTAGAATGTCCATCTAAATTCGCACGCCTGCGTGTATACTTTTGTTTGTTTGTTTGTTTTTTTTTTTCTAAACTAGTCGTTCAGATCGAAGAGATCCTGCTTACCTTTTTATCGACATTACTTACAGAAATAGACCGAAGATCTTGAATTTTTTGACATGCAAAAATACATGTTTCCGGGATAGAGTGGACGGGATAAAAACGAAGGTTGGTATGAAAAGGAGAAAGAGGGAAAGTAGCGCTGCATTATTTATTCTTGGAAGTGATGGCGGTGATGGTGTTTTCTTCACTCCCACTGGACCAGTGCTTCTCCTGTTCGCGCAATTCGAACTCCCATCGCAGCTCCAGTTCGCGCATATCATTTGCAATGCCCGCTTCGTACGTATCCTCCTATATTTGTTTAATCAACCAATCAATTAATACATTAAACAAGTAATTTTTTTTTGTAATCAATGACAGACACAAATAATGTTTTCGTCAAGATAAAATCTATTTAAGAAATAAAAAAACAAATTTAGCTTACTTCTTCTTCAGTTTTATAATTTTGATTATATTCCTGATTGGATAGCCAATTATTAGAAGACTGAATCCAAGGACAAGTGGTAGTGCCAGTATCGCCAACGTATGAGTTACTCCAATTCTGCACATCTCTTTCCCTCTCCCTAATATCTGCTTCGATCATTCGCAATTCTGCTAATTGCGCCAAACGTTCTCCCGCTGTAAAGAAAGTGGTAGCTCCTTGCGTTGCCAACTAAATTTGTAAAAATTAACTTCATGTTATTTAAAACAAAATCAATTTTATATTTCTTCAAAAGAGAGTGTATAATTTTATAAAAGGACTCAAAAATCTCTCTACTGCGTTAATTTAAAAATAACTCTTCAAACTCTTAACACAAAACGCAATACGTTACCTTTAAATCATTGATCTTCTTCTCAAGATGTCTGAGTTGCTGTTTTACCTTTTGCGATTCGAGAATTAATCTGAAATATATACAAAATAACACATATAACATATATAAATATGCGTGTGAATTTATATAAAGCTACGTTCTTTCTAGATAAATATTCTTCTTACTCCTTCGACATGCACTCCGATCTCGAAAATTGTGACGACTGCGATTCCGGTGAAATAATATTGCGACTCAGATTAACGTAATTATCATCAACGAAACTGCCGTTTAGACCACCAGTAGGACTCGCAGATGTTGTGTATGCTAGAATAAGTATATCGATTTAAAAATAATGAAGTTTAATAAAGCAATAATTTAAAAAAATAATAATAATCTTGCACTTACATTGATTACCGTAATACCAAGGAGTTAGAGAACTTGATGTTCTGAATGCAGGAGACAGTGGGGGAGCAGTAGTTGGTCCAATTCCCTCATTATAAAAGCTCGTAAGATGCTGCAAAGCTCCGTTGCACGGAGACCTGTGTTATATTATTAAGTAAAACATTAGTGACAATATAAGAAACAAATGTAAAAATAAGTTTGGAATAAAACATAGTACATTATTAATATTACCTTATCAGATTTTTAGACAGTCTCGAAATGGGTCCATGATTATTGACCGACGACAGGGAAGATGTGATGGAAGATGCATCTAACGGAGATACGAAAGGTCCGTCATCGTCAACTAGATGCGGAGCTGGTGGTGACGGATCTGTTCCGGAAGGATAGCGGAAGTTATTCGCAGCGGCCCATATCGAATAATTGTTAGATGTACCCAAAGACAAGTCACTTCCCTGCTGAAGATTATAATTCTATAAATATATATTTTTAAATTAATTAACTATGCGCACAATTTTGTTTTGAGATATATATAATAAAATTAATATAAATTTTAAGTTACGTATTAAAAAATATGTATGGAACATCTACCGTTTTTATTTGCGATGACATTGCTTGTTGCTGTTGTTGTTTGCCCACGATCGTTTCCAATTGATTTAGAATCTCCATTCTGCGTTGCAGCAACATCGCTAACATACTCTTCGCCGTTCGTTGCTGAAAAAATTATTTTGTTATTTTTTATTCATAAGTATTGCATTTTATTGACCATACATTTTATGTTATATAAATATTTATTATCTCTCACACACCTTCTTCTCGTTCGTTATATTCGCCGGCGCAACTTGCGAAGTATCCCACACTCCGAGATTTGTTGAAGCTCTCAATGAAGATCCGTAATCAACGGCGGGTCCTGGAGACATTATGAAATGTCCGGAGCAATGAACGGCAGGGGGTCCGCCGTTGTCTATTACGGTTCCTCCTTTTACAGAACACACTCCAAGATGTGACAAATTTGGAGAAGCTGCAGGCAGCATGTAAGTCGATGTCAGTGAGTCGATTAAATTATTTTCTAGATTAGTTGAAATGTTTGTCGAATGTTGCACCGCAACTGGAACAGCTAAACAAAATAACGAATAATTCCAAACAATATTCGATTAAAAGATTATTATAGAATGTACTTATAAATATTTAATGTAACTTACTTTCTCTGTCCTGTATTTTCGTGGAATGATAAGTGATTAAATCGCCGTTCTGCTTGTTAAAAACCTTACTGCTTTTTTCACTCTTCGTGTCTATGTGACTTGAATTTTTGACGCTTAACTTGCGATTTTTTGACCTGTATCTGTGAAAAAGAACACTGTCGATCATATCGAGTGCTTTCTCTTTTAAATATACAAGTAAATAAATATATACAAAATATATAATTGTACGTACTTGTCAAGTTCGGTGTCGCTGTGGGCAAAGGTGCAACTGTTGGATCGCGGACATGTACCACGCAGGGCTAAATCTCTACACATACTGACTTTATATTTTCCGGCTGTCTGACCTGAACTTAGACCACCACCGGGCCCATTACCTCCGTTATCTTGCGTTGCTGATTTTCGATTGCTGCCACTAGGACCGCTGCAACCTCCGTGCTGTCGCACGAAGTCAACCAATGCAGCAACTACTATTTTTACGGCTTCTAAAGCCGCCCGACACTCGGCCAAACTCGGTGGTTCTGTTTCTAAATATCATAAAAAATACAAAATATAAACAATATAAAAGATATAAAATAGAAATATGTGTATTGACAAGATAAACAATTTTAAGAACTTTATAAATCTAAATATCTTTTTCTAATTATGAACGTTTTTATACAAGATTATGCAAATATACAAAAGAATTATATTTACCTGGACTAGGATCAATAGCGGCCAGTAATTCTAACTGTGGCCTAAGACCGCTCAATTGACCAGGATCGGGAGTACGCTGTAGTGCTATCACAAGTTCTTGAACACTCTGCGCAAACGACTGCGGAGTCTGTAATTTGTCGATAATGCTCTGCATGTGAGACTTGTGAGCGGTGTCGCCATAAAGTAACGCCGACCACTGGTCAGGTGCAATACGCAAACCCGCTTCCGTAGCAATCTGTACAATTTGCGCGTCATGTTCTCGTCTCAAAGCCTCGTAAGTGCGAAATTCCTCCTTTAGTTGCATCAGTGATGAATCGCCTTCACGTTTTGATACCTGATGACGTATCAAAAGTAAAATTATAATAGTTAAATATAGTGTTTTAAATATTTTGTTATTGCCATACTTTTTAATATTAGACATTTGATTAAAAAATGATCTAATACTTTAACGATCTGCTGTGTATTACCTTGAAACAGCTCGCCCGATATAGCAGTTGTACCACATGGCCGATACTGGTTTTACTAGCTTGGGGAAAATGTGGCTCTAAGCGTTGCACCACAAACATCACAAGCACTTTGCGCGATAATGCCGAACCGTCTTCTAATGCCAGTAATACGAGTTTAAGAACTTCTTCTTGCATAGCTAAATGCAAACAAAAGGATAATAAGATTTCAACATATGTATGTAAAGAAAATACAATAGGTATTAGAAAATTATAAGCTTTTCTTAGTTAATGTATATATATATAATTGAAACTTACCTGGCCCGAGAAACTGACAGCCTCGCGCACGTACAGCTGCCCAAAGATTGGCACTGAGCTGCTGTGGATTCTGGTGCTGCAATATAAGTTCAGTGACAGTGCGTTCACCAAGGCTGCGAGCAGCACGTAACGCGCGCGCTCTACCTTCGGGTTCCACAAGCTGACAACCTAGCAATGTCACTAATTTGCGCTGCATTGGCCGGGACACCAATCCTGCACCTCCACTCCCAATGTCTACGCATCAAATAACAATTTAATTATATCTTAATATTTTTAATTATCTTTTTTTATCACTATTTATATTCAGTATTTAACATGAAAATATATGATACATACTGATACCAGAAGTTTGACATGGTTTTAGGTAAAGAGCGAGCTCCTCAATGCAACTTTTGGCTCGCAGATAATTAGCATGTTGATCAACTGGTAATAACTGCTGGTAATTTTGCTGCTGATTCGACAAGGATGTCGACAAAGCAGTAACAGCAGAAATAGGATTGCCCAACAATTGCAGCAGTGCCTCATTTAGTGGCAGTCTTTCGACATCAGTGTTAATGACACTCTATATAGACAAAATATTAACATAAGTACAAACAAAATGCGACATAATATATGTATATTAAAAAAAAATATCATACCTGATCAAAAGGGCATTGTTTGCGATGCAGATTGGCAAGACATGCTCGACATATGGTATGGCCACAGCCGAGTGATACAGGACCTCGTACAGTCGCATCAAAATCATGACAACAGATTGGACACGAAAGGAATTCAGTCCACTGTGGTGCCTGAATCGGCATTCTGTATTGCCATGCAAAGGAAAGAAAACAAAACAACATATAATCATACACATATAAAAAAACAAAATCTTTATATTCGACATTTAACTTATAACTCAAGTTTAAAAAAAAAAAAATTTTATTTGTAGTTCGTAATAGCAATAATTTTACATGCACACACGCGCGCGCGCGCGCGCGCGCACACACACACACACACACGCACCACACATTTATAGTTGTATATTCTCTAAAAACTCGATGACTTACATATGACATTAAAACAAACAAAATTCTTATCTTGATTTAGAAATATACACACACACATACACACACATATATTTACACTTAATTCTCTCTTTCTTCTCTCTCCTGTAATATATTCTTAATAATTAGAATGTATTCATCAATAATACATACGAATGTTAAAAATGACAAATTTCGAAACTCAAATGTACAAAAATGAAGATATAAAAAAGACATAAAAACTGAAAGTGTAAGTAAAAAACGATATATTATGATATAAAAATGCACATTGTGTTCGAACGTTAAAACGCGTGAAAAGAAGAAATGCAAATACAATATAAAAGTAATTGCGCGCGGAAGCAAAAATTTCGAGCAGTTTTTATTTCGTAACCAAACTTTTGGATGTCTCTTGATGAAAATTTTATGCGCAATACACACTGTATAAAAAGTCGGAGTTAATCTAAACCGAATAATAATATAATTATCGTTTGTGTGTATATGTATTATAGAGAATATATAATAATAACCATAAGAATTTCTCTGGTAATTCACAGGAAAAGCTCGGCAAAAGAATCGCACTGTCGTCGCAGGTGAAAAACCTGCCTTTGTAGCAAATGTGTCTCCGATATCGTGACAGCGTGATTCCGGGTCCGGGATAGACCCTGCGGAAATTTAATTGCCAATAAAAATCACCACTATCATCACCACCCACCTCGTTATAGCTTTCGCAAAACATCACATTGATTACACTTTTTGCGCAACATTCGTTTCGCGCAGTTTTGCGCGATTAGCAGCATAGATCTCTATCATCATAGGCTTACGCACACACAAGCGCAATAACAACGTCGATGACACGCAGTTCCGTGTAACTGGTGTAACTACATATAGAAATGACCAGATGATCTAGAAGGTCATTTAATAGTTCTGTTTTTCATCGTTCTGCGGCGTCAAAATACATTTTAGGCCCGGTTTCTCCATCTTCCGAATTAAATTTAATCTGGCGATAAATTCTATCGTTAAAATTATTAACCAATCGCAACAAACGTTTAGTCAAACACGACCAATCGCAAATGACGTTTAACTGGCCGTTTAACTAAAGTTGAAGATTGTGAACCGGCTCTTAATCTCGAGCGTGTTTTTGCGGGAAACGCGCGTTAACTTACTGCCGTAAACAGTAAAGTTTAACTATAGGAATTCAATGCTTCCGTTTTATACAAGATCGCCGAATGCGTATTGTCGTTTTGTTAACATTCGGCGTTAATTTATTGGTTTTAAACCAAGATAACTACAGAATGGCGTATTAACGGTCCTTTAGCCGCTACAACACCGAACCGAACATTGGGTGCGTTCAGACAACTCAACGGTTGAGAGATCATCGCTTATGATAGGACTATTCTTCAAAATCTGAAGCGATTCCGAAAGTACGATCCAATCAGAAGTGATTATCTCTCAACCGTTGTGCAACTGTTGAGTTGTCTAAACGCACCCATTAGGCCCGGTTTGACAATTCGCGGTTAACTCGAGTTAACTTCAAAGTTTAACTTGCTGAACTCGGTTTAACGCATTTGTCGCGCTTTTCAACTGCCTGTTCCACAATACAGTCGTAAGCCGTAAATCGTAAGAAATCGACCAATCACAGACTAATCGCAAAAGAATGGGTGCGTTCAGACAACTCAACAGTCGCACAACGGTTGGGAGATAATCACTTCTGATTGGATCATACTTTTGGAACCGCAGCAGATTTTGAAGAATAGTCCTATCATAAGTGATGATCTCTCAACCGTCGAGTTATCTGAACGCACCCAATAACCCGACTGTGATTGATCAATTTCTTACGACTATATTGTAGAACAGGCCTAAAATGAAAGAAGCGTACGATGGCTATTTGTCGTTCAACTCGCAGAACCATTAAGGCCTGTGTACATAAGACGCAGACGCTGGTTGCAGATTTCGCGAAATTGACTAATCACGTTAGTCGATTGGCAGATTTAACCAACGTGATTGGTCAATTCCCTTGAGCCACCCGCGACCCGCATTTGCGTCTATTATAAATAAGTCTTTAGCCGAGTTGCAATGCGTTCAAAAATATTACTCCGAATAGCAAAATTGACTCGACGGAGCTGTTTTATAAACGTGAAAAAAGTTTCCAACTTTGTGAGCAGAGCTTAATCATTTCCGAAACCTTAACTTCTTCTTCTTTGCAGTTGTGGCGCTGTAGAACCTACGTCACGTACGGAAACAGCACTCGCGTACACACGAGCGTCATTCTATCTTTGTTTTATATATAATGAGCAATAAAGATAAAATATACACGAGTGATGTTTCCGAACGCAGCCCTATTCGGTTGGTCCGTACGCCCCGGTGTGAGGTCCAAAACTTTATTGAACTTTTTTCCTCCGAGATAAATTTGTTATAAGAAATAACAAATGTGATTTTTTTTTTATATTGAGATTTTTATTTTTACTCATTATATTATCATTGTACGAATACGAGATAGTATATTTTGGTCTTATGGTTTCAGATAATTTTGTAAATTTACCCATTCGATGTGGTTTTGCGCGAACAAAAGAAATACAAGATGTTATGTTTCCATTAATCTTCACCTCGGGTTTCAAGACACACAATAAACAAACCCTTCTTTTAAAGAGATCCATCTTTTAAGGGTCCTTCGTGTTGATTTGGGTCGTGACCATTTGGCCAGTAGGTGGTCTCTTTTGTGGTGATCTCCGACTTTCATAGTTAATAATGAGCAAAAAACGAAAACAACCGAGACGGACCGAACACAACGATGATCACGTATATAGTGACACAAAGTGACCGCGTGCAGCGCCATCGGTCGGGAGTCGCGGCACCGAGCGAACCCAGAAGGTTGTCCGCTCGCCATATTTGTTGTTGTCGTCCCATGGGGTAGGCTAAGCCTCGAAGTTTTCGGACTGGGCTGACGCTGTCGGGGCAACTGGTGTGCAGTGGTACTAACGTGGCCGCGATCCGGTCGCGACCATACGCGGATTCTTCCGCGAACACGAGTACCATTCACACGCGGCGTCATAAGCGCACAGTGCGCGCCGATGTCTCTGATATAACAAGAGAAAACATCGATGGAGCGTTTGACGGCTCAGCTGTCCTACTCAGTGTCGAGTGCGCCACCGCGTGTGTACGTGTTTGTGTATCACTGTTCCTTCGGTTACGCTGATTACGTACAGTCCGCCCGATGGTGTTTGTAGTTGTTAACGTACCGATTACCCCAAGTGTTGAACGGAAGTGAAGGAAAGAGAGAGGAAAAGAAGATTGATACATTGTGTTAATCCGGACATTTAGCACGGGGGGTGAAGGTAAGCAAAAGAAGGGGTTGGAGCTACGGCTGCACGCGAGCGCACTTGCGTGCGTGTGTGCGTGCGTGCGTGTGTCGCGCGCGCGCGCGCGCGCGCACGCGTGTGTACACACACACACACATGTGTGTGTGAAAACGCGCGCGCGTACAAATGTATTCGTTAGGAAGATGCGAAGCTCGGTTGTAGCGCAAAAAAAAAAAAAAAAAGAGAAAGAGAATAAGCGCGCAAGTTTGTGTTCCTCCGCGCACAGGGTCGTGTCGGGGTCGTTGCACGTTCTTGACGCGAGTCTGTTGACCTGGCCAAGGTCTTTGCGCCTCTGACCGTGTCGTCGCGTCTCTCATCAATGTGTATCGCGATTCCCTCTTGCGTCTCTCTCTCTCTCTCTCTCTCTCTCTCTCTCTCTCTCTCGTTTAAATCGCACGTCAGTATATATATTTGCAGGTAGTATATGTGTATATACAGTACGTATGTATACAGTATACATACTTGTATCTCTCATCTTAACCTCTAGTCCGACGGTTCTTCATTTAATATATCGCGAGCGTGTGTATATCTCTGTTTGACACAAGGCGCGTCGCCGTCTCGTCGTGAGATTCGACGATAAAATGTTTGCACAAAAAACAAGAAGCTCGTGTTATCATAAGCGAAAATCGATATGTATCCGCAAGGGTAACGTGAATCAGCTGTTCTTTTACTTCTGCTTTGGGTCGTGTGACGTGCTTCGCGAAATGCGTGTGCGTTGTATGTGTGTGGGCGTGTGTGGGTGTATGTGTGTGTGTGCGTGCGCGCGCGCGCGCATTTGCAGTGATATAGCGATCGAGGTTGCCCGAAGGTTTCGTGAAAAACTTGTTGATTTCCGTGACCTTATTTTACCGCATTTTATACACGAAGAAAATACAACAACTTATTTTGCAATTTTTTTTAAATACAAATTTTTTAAAATATTTTTTACATTGCTACGCATCACACGATAGATATTCTCTTTTCTTAAGTCTCAATCCTCGTCTCGCAATTTAGCAGAAAACAAAATGTCTTTAATAGAGAAAACGTAAATTTTAGTGGCACATTTTTTTTATACACGCAAATGTTCTGTTGGACACAATATGTGTTGACGTGTTAGATATACATATATATATATATATATATTTTTTTTTTTTTATGCTGCACGCGCGAACGTTTGACATTAGGTAGACGACGATATATCAAGTGAGAACGAATAAAGAGTGATACAGAAACGGACGACAATTTTTTTCGGATCCTTCGTAGAGACGTTGGCGAGGTCTATCCTGGTGTAGTTTCGTGCGAGACTCGAAGTGGCGGAACCGGTAGTAGGTGACCGTCGTGGACACGCTCGTGTTATCGCGTGTGCTGATTCGCACGGCAATTAAAACTGGCGGGCAACCTGGCTCGATCCTCCGGCAGCGGCGGCGGCGGTGGCGGCGGTGGCGGACGAACCGGCGGCAAGACCGGCGGTTGTGGTAGCGGCGGTGGCGGTGGTGGTAGCGATGGCGCGGACTCCAGGAACACGGGAGCGGCCGGAGGACCTGCTGCCGAATCCGGCGGAATCGTCGCGGGTGATGAGGCTGTCGGTGCCGCCGCTGGACATTTAATCGAATGGGAAGAAACCGATCGTTTTTCCTTCGACGATTCCGACCGGTTCGAGGAAGATTCTTTGTGCAGCTTCAGCAGCGAACCCGAATCTCTCTGTAACAATTGGCGAGGATGGAGACGACCGCCGGCTGCCTTCAGTATTTCCAAGAAATCCTTCGAGGGTAAGAGATTTTTCTTGTTTTATATTATATTGCTGTTGATAAAATTAACTTATTGTTCATGTTCAAACGTATGGTCCACAAGATAAAATACATATTATGTAAATAAAAAAAAAAAAAAAAAAAAAAAAAAAAAAAAAAAAAAAAAAAAAAAAAAAAAGAATATAAATGGAGAAAAGATAAAAAAATACAAATTTTGTTTCTGTTTTTTTCTTTGTTACTGCGAGATTAGCTTTTTCCCTCTCCTCGATCTTTATATGCTGACGAATAAGGTCGCGTATGAGACCGACCTGAAATGAAAGAAAGCTACGTTACTCGCTTTTGTTCAAGCGCGTAGATGTGCACCTCGAGATTACGTGCACGTTAAGAAACTGCATTGACGGAGATATATATATATATATATACATACATATAACGAGAATGTCGAGGATAAACTCGAAATCGAATTGAAATACATCTTATCTCAACATCTGACGTATCTAAATAGTTATTAGCCCTGTGTGTGTACGCGAGTATTTTTCAGAAAACCAACTTCTATTAATGTTGTTTTTACTTTTACCGTGTTACGTTTTAAAGATATGACGGTTAAAAAAAAAAAGAAGAAGAAGAGAGAAGTGTCCTCGCAGACGCACAATCATGCAAATTACTCACAAAGTTTGCAAACGGTTTCCACGATTTGTGTACGCGTCAAATGCATTAATGCAATTTTAACTTGCTCACACACAAGCATCTCTCATTCGTTAGTCGTTTCCTTCAGGAATAAATGCAAATTTCAGTTTTTTTTTCTCCGCAGGTTTTACTTCTTTCGAAATCGTCACATCGCGGAAAGCTTGTGAAATTTCAACAAACTGCATTTGTTTGTTTGTTTTTTTTTTTTTCGGTATCAAGCTTCTTTTGCAGAAAGTTGCACAGCTGGGGACGTATTTTATTTTGCAAAAAGTTTTAACGTTGACAATTAAAACTCTTTGTACAACGGCCGTGCTGTTTCTTGAGTCTCTCTGTGCTCGGTGGAAAAAATCATAGTCGCGCGTAACTCTTCGTTAAAAAAAATTAAACAGAATTTCTGTCAAGTGTAATAAAGACGGAGAATGCACGATATTGAGAACTCTCAGAGAGAGAAAAGTTACTCGAAGTGAAGACTCTTTACAAAAGAAGACGTGTTTGCGTCTATATAAATAAGAAACTTTTCATAAAAAAAAAACTTCAAAAACCGTGTAGTCGTATATTTTTACACGTATACGAATGTATTTAGTTTCTCTGTCGGTAATTGATGACGATATTATAACTGATTAATGTGTTTCCTTTTTTCCACTGTCGCTACAAATTTTGCAAAACATGTATTTTACTCCCCGTAAATTTATATTCGCACTTTTATCCGTACATTCTCATTTGTTTTTGTTTTTCATGTCCGCAAAGTGATAACACAATGTGTAAGCGCTCATCGATGTACACATCGATACGTAGATTTTTTTGTACCGTCGTGTCAAGGATGAATATCTTGCTGTGAAGCGAGATGTGTGTTCGCGCTAGTTTTTTCTTCCGCTATAATTCTCACTTTTTCGCGACTCGTGAATTACACAAATGGATAATTGGCTCAGGCTCTCTTTTGGAATTTCGTAGGATATAAACTCTCAAGTTGGAGCGAAATTGAAAGGCGCGTTTCTAGCTGCGAGACGTGTGCACACACATAACTACGTACTGTACGCACGTGTCTCGGATATACATACGCATATATACGTGTGTGTAAGTCGCTGCTACATACATCTAGGACGGTTTGCACATGCGGGCGTTATAATCCATCGTTCATTGTTCCCGCTTCGAGTTCTTCCCTTTTTTTTCATCGGCATATTTCTCGCTTGAATCGACGTACACACACATTTTGACGCTTCTCCGCTAAAATTCACACAACGTAATAAAATTCATGAAAATAATTTTGCACGATTACATTTAACATCGGGATTTATATTTTCTAGCTTCGTGCGATAGTCGGTGTGTTTTTTTAGTTACGCAATTTTGTGCATTCTAATAAATTTATATCGGTCACGGCGAGTGATTCCGACTATAGCGCACTATAGTGGTTTTTTACATTGTGTTTTTTTTCATTCGGACACGGATAGTACAAGTAAAATTCGAGAGTTAGATTGTGATTTCTCGATGCATTTTGTCGGTGGTTGTCGAATGTTTTTAACGCTGATGTATAAAAGTATTCATGACCGCGGCTGTATGCATATAAATTGGTTATAGGTATGTCCTATTTGAAGGAGAGACTCTCTCGTTTGACGGTGATCGATGAGCTTTGCGCGAATTAGCGTTTGTTCGTGTGAACCAGTAACACGGTTTCCGAATCATTGAGTAACACAAATCTTTGTTTTCAGAATAAAAACGTACGCCAATAAACTTAATGTATACATTTATTACATTAACACGTCAATGGATAATGAGTTAATCGCGCGCAGTGTTGGTCGAATGAAATTTAATCGATTGTTATAACGTTAGTTTGAAACTTAACGTTAAATTTGATTCTTAAAGACCGCGTGCAGCGTGGAAAGACAATTTGATTTACAAAGCGAGTTATCGCGCGCTCGTTTATATTGTACAATGTATTAACAGCATACATGAATAGTAAGCGACAGTATTTTAATAATAACCAATCGATACTATTAATATCGCGAAAGATATATATATATATATTGCTGAAGAGTGTTACTGTTGAAATATCAACGGTAACACAAGATTGCCTCTCGCACGCAACAATATTGGCTGGCGCGGAAAGAGAAACCGCTTTGGAGAATTTCTACGACTACGGAAACTCGTTCGCAGAATCTACCGGTATAAGTACTCATTATCTGCGCTACACAGAACTAACGTAGAACAATGGAGCGCAACGTCTCTTCTACGTAATTATCGCGCGGCTTGTCGTTTGAGGGCGAGGATCTTTCTCGTGCCGTTTGCCTAGATTAGGAGTGACCTATGTGAACCTGGCAACCCGACTTTTACGACAATTATTTGTTTTTAAACTTTTTTTCTTTTTTGAAAATTTTGGAAAATTATATTATCTTGATATTAAAAATAAAAATAAATATTAATATATATTAATATGGAATTTAATTACGACACAACATTATCTGTAACACAGTATAGAGGAGAGAAAATATAAAAAAACAGTAACACAATAAAGAGAAAGAAAAGTATAAAAATAAAATCTTCTGAGTAAAAAAAATAACATAACAAATAATCTTTCCACTATTTATTGTGCTTGTGCATATGCACGCTCTTATGTTGGAATAAGAACGTGTGGCTCACATGCAGCTCGCTGTGTGTGTCTGTTGTCGTCATATATAGCAACCACAATTACCGGTTCCGGCAACAGATGCGCGCATTCTCGTCGTGTTGCATGTTCTTGACTTGATAAGTGCGACTTTTTAGGACATGACAAGCGTGAAAGTGATGTGAGCGAAAGAATGATTTTTTTTTTATGAAGATTTGCCGGACTTTAAAAGAAATAAGATCATAAATTCTAACAAGTGTGATAGATATTTATTTTCTAAAAATTTTACATTTTTGTTACTGCAATTCTTGTTGCGCTTGGCAGTATATCGCTTTTTTGTAACCAGGTCAGTTGTTATTAAATAGCTGATAGTACACATCACAAATGCGTTCTGCAAAAACATATCGATATTGACGTAAAATTGAAAAAAATTATTTTTTTTGTATATATAATATACAAGGCAAAAATGTTATTTGATAGTTTTTTTTTTTTTTTTTTATTTGTGAAATAAAATTTTAACATGACGTCCACACGTCTTGAAAGAGCATCGCTACATAAAAATATAATATAGTTGAATGAAGTTATCATCTTTTATGAAGATTGTTTTAAAAGTCCTTAAGACTTGTTAGGTCGAATAAGAATGAAACGCTCAAAGCAAATTCCTTAATGCACACAATACACGCACACACAAACTACTTAATAGCTTTCAACAAGCTACTTATACCTATTGTTACAAATTCACCGATGAAGCTCTGTTGAGAAGCTCGCAAAAAATTTTAGTCGCAACCGAGGAAAGAAGTTCTCGTGTATTTGCCTCGCAGCTCGCAGCGCAATTTTCTTGTCGTCCGAAAGTCGGGAAAGTCGGATAAAATTGTCGCGCAGGAAGCGCCGAAAGCACAACCATCGTTTTCTCTCAAAGCGCATGACTCGAATTGCGAATACAGAAAATATATCTTTTCAACCAAAACAATTTTCTTTATTTTAAATCTTTCTCGCAGTTTTATATTATTTATCTCGTCTACCTCTATATTATTTATTGTCTATATTAAGAAAGACGTGTAAAACCTGTACCTATGTACACTTAAACACATGTGTGTTGAACACAAAATGACGTGTATTTTGCATATAATTTAAAAATTATTTCAGCTTTTGTAGCATAAGAAAAAAAATTCAATTTGCGTGAAGATTAAGTAAAGTCAAAACACGGAACACTCTGTGTAAGTGTACAGAAACACCTTCAAAAATCCAAAAGCTGTCGCTTACAGGGAGAAACGGGCGCTAACGACGGCCGCAAATTCGATTCGTCGACAAACTTCATCTTCAAATTTGCACCTCTACGCCGATAAAGCTGCTCGCTTTCTACATGTTACGTTCCACCACGAACAAATAGCTTCTTTTGTCTTGAAAGGGCAGACCAAAAGTTTGTACACTCCCAGTGTTTGGTATCGCTAGCATTTAATTATTGACGTCAGATGACGTCGATATAACCGTAGTCAACAAAAGATGTTTTTTTAACGTTCTTTTTTTAAATGTTTAATAAAGCGAACATTGATTTATTTCTCTAGTACAGAAAACAAATTCATTTTTGACAACAATATTTTTTTATATTCTATGTTTTAAATCTCAAATATATACTTATTTATATATTTAAAAAAAAAAAAAATTGAAAACGAGTATTGCTCTTTCTCTATTATTGTAATAAGTAATAGATGATCCTAATAAATTATTGATTAAT